AGTTTCATGTCCGTTGCTGGTTGGCTAACTAGCAACAGGGTCTTGCCAGCCAATGGAATTGTGTGATTACAAGCCAGGGGAATCCCATAAAAGAGGGCTCCCCTGGCCCAGAGAGCCAGTCCGGATTTACTTTATGCCTTGCCAATAAACCAAGAGCTGACTGTCACTCGACTCGTGTCTTACTGCCTGCGCGATCTAAGAAGGGCTTAGTGGTACGGTATTGTTTAGCACTTGCGAGTTAAAACTAGTGTTGAAGCTATCATATCAGGGTACTATCCAGAAAGTAAAAAAAAATAAAAATTGGAAGCTAAGATTGAAATGCCATTGATAATATGCAATGTAAAAAAAACTTTTATTTGCTTACAGCTCTACCCTCTATGACCTTACATTTCTTTTTTAGTATTCCCTTTTGACAAACAATAAGTGCTGGTAATAAGTTGCCTTTGTTAATTGCAACAATATATAGTACTTCTAAGTATAACAAGAAGTCATACTTTAGAGAATTGTCCAAGGGGCATCTTTGTGTTGCCTTAAGTATTATATTCATTATACTCTATGAGTAAACCATTTTACTCATATTTATGGGGCCACCACAAAGAAGAGGGGATCAACTTATTTTCCAAAGCACCAGAAGGCAAGACAAGAAACAATGGATGGAAACTAATCAAGGAGAGAAGCAACCTGGAATTAAGGAGAAACTTCCTAACAGTGAGGACAATTAACCAGTGGAACAGCTTGCCTTCCGAAGTTGTAGGTGCTTCATCACTGGAGGTTTTTTTTAAAAAAGACACCTGTCCGAAATGGTATAGGGTCTCCTGTTGAGCAGGGGGTTGGTCTAGATGACCTCCAAGGTCCCTTCCAGCTCTATTCTGATTGATTTATCTTTTCAACTGATTATTGATACAATACATATACAGTAGATTTTTTTTCTGAATTTTCTGGTATGTTGTGTTCTTTCAACTTATTTCATTATCCTCTTTTTTTCTTTTTCTTTTTCTCTCTCTTCTCCCCAGTGTCAGGCTTTTAACTAAGGCTCTCTGGATATGTATTTATAGGAGCAAGCTGGAAATGCAGAAATTGAGGTATCCCTCTGCTTGCTGCTCTGGCCATTAAATTACAGACAGAGCTAACATGCAAAATCAGATTCCTTGTCTAGGGCAATTTTTTTTTCAACCAGGAAAACAATTAGTTGTGGAATTCCATAATTTCAAATCCAATCCATCAGACTGTCAAGCTGTAGAAGGCTGGTATAGTTATCATTATTCTGACATGAATTCTTAATAAGAGACTGGTCCCTAATTTTGATGGGTATGTAATTTTACATAGACATATACCGATTCAAAATAGAGACAAGCAAGCTTTTTTTCTACGTTTTCTTTTTTTTTTCTTCTCAGCGACAGGACTAATACAAACAACAGGGAGGGTTCAGAAAGAATTATAATGTGGAAGAAAGAAAGAAATAATGTGGAAGAAAAAAAAATGCTTATTCCCTGAACTCACCAACCATCAGCATGTGTCATGATGAATTAGGCCCAAGAGAATATTCTCTCTGAAAACACTCCTTTTCAATCCTAAATTAATGTGTTTTGGTTTAGATTCGCAGGCGAACTGTAGCAACCTATGGACAGTTTGAAGGAAATCCATGCTCAGGAAATTCATTTGAAACTCGTACATGTGTTCCCACAAGAGGTTGCCCAACAGAAGAAGGATGTGGTGACCGTTTCAGATGTTCTTCAGGTATACAGCTTCAAGAGTTTAAATGACTGGCTTATTGTGTCAAGTGCTAGGGAAAATCAGAACATTCAAGCGATTCAAATGAGGATAAAGATTTATTGCGAACTTAAAGCTCTCTACAAAAATCTGTGCTACTAATGGTCAAGGGAAATGAGCGGGAATTAAGAAGGCATTCAATATGGGATGGATTTAGATCTCTTGCGGGCACAAAGGGACTCATGACTTATGACACGTTTGACCCCCTCCCTCGGGCTCAGCCTGGTCATCTCTTAAAGATAGCTCTGTAGTGACAGACAATGGAAGTAAGTAAGAGACAGTAGAGAAAATTATCTAACAGAATTACATTTCAGCTTTGTTTGTCAGATTGTGGTAAAGGGACCATTGAATAAACCCCAGTGCCAAAACACCGGAGCAAGATATCAAACAACACTGTGTTTTTATGAGGTCAATTTATTCATCAATTCTGTTTTCCTTATAGCTCTTACCTATCACTATTGTCTATTTTTATGGTAATAGGACAATGCATTCGCAAATCATTGATGTGCAATGGAGATCAAGATTGCCTGGAAGGTGGCTCTGATGAAGATAACTGTGAAGAAGTCAAGAAAATATGTGATGAGAAGCCCCCACTTAGATCACCTCCTAATGTAATGCTTACAGGGAGAGGGTAATTTGCTTTTGTTGTACTTCTGAATGAAAAAGTTATACTTTTTACTTACCAATCCCTTGTTGAAGAACTCTGGGCAGCATGTTTAATAATTACTATATTAATTATTACAATTAATCGTGACCACTTAATTCTTTCAACCAATACTTATTCAGCTTCTCCCTATGTATGATCCTTGGTTTAACAAGGAGTTCTTGGAGATGAAATACTAGAAGAGACATCTGGAGACATCTGGAGCACCATTGAAGGAAGTCTCAGATCAGATTTGATTGGAATGGTTGGAGTCCCTTTTGATTTTTGACATGTGTTGTTGACCAAATTGTCCTTTTGTCCCTGTTATATGCTTTTTGGATGGTAAAGTATTGTGGGTTTTTTTAAATGTTGTAAACAATTGGAGTTGATCGGCACCTAAGTTGAATAAAATAAATAATATATATTTTCCTATGTTGAGAATTAGTAGCATGCTAAAGGCTGAAGTCAAAGCATATCATTTTGCCTAAGCCTGCAGAATCTCTTTGTGGTGCAATTCAAGCCAATTTCCATACTGAGAGCATCAGTTCTTTTTATGTACATCTGCACATCTCTATCCAATATTTACAATTTAGGATAGTTTGTAATAATCCACATTAGTTTCTTTGTTACTGTTGTGACTAAAGAGAAATTCCATTCCTTATTTCTTTCCTAGAACAGATACTGTTTTCCCAAGTTGGAATTTCTGGACAATTAGATCATAACATCTCCTCAACCTATGCAACCTTAGTTGAGGGACTGAAGTCGGGTTTTCATGTTATGTCAGGCTTTCATGTTAAGGATCATTTAACACATCATTGTGTTTTAATAAAACATTTTAGCCGGTTATTCTGATATTTTATTTATAGAAAGAATGAATTGTCTGAATTGAGCCATAGTCGCCAACCTGAAGTCAAAAAAGATTTAGCAGGAAAATGAATGTAAGAGCAGTATGGAAATAGCTCAATAATTGTTCAGTTCACTTAGCAAATTGCATAAACTGAGCAGCCAGTCGCACTCATATTTTTGGCAGTGATTTTTTTTTTAGGCCAATCTTGTTCAACCTGGATGCCTTCCACTTGCATGTTTTAATTCTCAGAATTCTCAGGGAATTAGTTGAGATATTTGGAAGACATCTGGATTGGGGAAAGCAGTTATAGATCCTATAAGAAGGAAGAAAACCAGTAAAAATGTCATCTGAAATGCTTGGGCCTTTTATTCTGGATTGCCCCTTTGCTGGATTGACACATCATACAGAGCAATAATGGGGTCACTTGGCTTTGGTTGTTTGGCATGTGGTGTATACTCAGCTACTGTGGTTTGTTAGACATGATATACAGCATGTTGTATAAACTCAGTTAATTGGGGATTATTCAATAAACCATGGTTAAGCATGTTTTTGCAGAAGCAGAGATATTCATAAATAGCTACTGCTTTTCTCCAGTCTCTTGGCTGGTTGATCTTAATGGAGTGATTGGTACTTCAGCACAAAGGCTAGGATATTATTTCAAAGCTTATAAATTATACGCTTTATGCATTGCTGTGGCCTTGTGGATGGCTTCATTTGAATAAAAAGATGAGAGGAGATTGGCCATTGTTATGTTAATTTGGGATCAAAATGTAGCTTATCAAAGACAGTTGCCATAGAGATTAAAATGTTTTAGTATTATAAGATACAGAGAGCAATTCCGTTCCTCTTTATGTAACATGCTGTTATATGCTATCAGCTTTGTGGCTTACAGAACTTCATCATGGCTATCTTGTTCTGTCCATAGTTTAACTGTAGATGTACCAATGATTAGTTCCAGAGCGCACATTCTAGATCTTGCACTTATAGTTACATTATAACTTTATTTGCTTGCAGCTTTGATGCCCTTACTGGTGAAATGAAAGGTGTGGTCATTGACACTAAGAGCTTTGGTGGCCAATGTCGGAAGGTCTTCAGCGGTGACCGGAGAGAATATTATCGGCTGAGTGAAAATGTCCTTGCTTATACATTTGAGGTGTGATTAGTTTATTTTCCTTATTGATATATTTCTAATCTATCCATGACCAGACATTAAAAGATACCATCTGACATCAGAGATGTTGTGTTAGGACTATATGGAGCTGCTATCTACAGCCTGATAAAGAGCTAATCCAACCTCTTCCTACCAGCAGCTACTAATACCTTTAGTAAGAATAGGAGTTTTTTTTCCACATAGCTGTTTTTTGTTTCCATTGGTTAAATACTTTTTTAACCCAACATCTCACCACTTGTATTATTACCATTAGACACCATCTGGGTTGCCCATCTGGCAGCGGTCATAAAAAAAATAGGAGGAAATTTGCATTTATTGACTGGAGTTAATTTGGTGTTACTCCAATTCAGCAACTTCCAGATGTATTTGAATTAATAGCTCCCAATATTTCCAGACAGGATGCTTCTTCGTTATTTGGCAATTTTGCTGGGAATTCTAGGAGCACCTGTAGCATTTATATCAGCATTATTTCATCTTGACAAAAGCTGCATTATGGAGGCAATCTATATTCATTTCAAGAACCAGAATGTAGCAGTATTATTTTTAATGAGTCAACAAATATCTTTTTTTTTTCTTTGTACAGGTGAAAATTGAGAATGAATTCAATACTGAATTTTACAACAGTAGCTGGTCCTATATGAAAGAGACAGAGAGTCGCGCTAATGGAAATGATTACCATCACTACACAGAAGAAGAATATGCAAAAGACCGTTCAGAGGTATGTATTGCTTTGCTTTCTTCCTTCTCAGGTGATAGAAAAGTGAAG